TGTGTTGCAAGGGCAAGTGAAGGCAGCATGGTGGGGCATGTGGAGGACAAACATTTTGCGGGCAAACAAAATGTGCTGCAAAATAGGAAACCACTTTGTTTGCAGTCTCCAAAAGGATAAAATAAAATGGAAAACCCTTCAAACAAACCCTCCTAACACTAAGCAACTGCAGCACAGCACTGCCTTTAAAGCAAACCATTCCCTCGCGTCGTTCCCAGTGCACTCATATATATATCCAGAGCAGGCCCTGCCTTCACAGTTCAAACTGGCCAATCAGAGTCAGAGCCAGTCAGAGCTGGAGAAGGTAGTTAACAAAGTCAACGGCAAATACGTGTGATTTTCTGAAGATTCTTCCAACCACAAAGGCTCAATTCATAGATACACAATCAGTCTTTAATACTGAATGTTCAAAATGAGCAAAACATTTGTGCTTCCTTCTACATTTACCTTAATTACTTTGAATTTCGTCGCAAATCTATTATCCAATCAGATTTGACAGTCAACCTCCTCATCTAAGATAAAAAAGTGGCTTTTGGGGCGTTGCTCCTCTTTAACAGAACAAGATGGCGACCACAGAAGAGCAAACTGTGGCAGCTTTCAGGACTTAAAATCCTTCTAAGAGGCTGTTTGGTTTAGTCAGACAAAAGAATTCAACTTTAAGAAGAAGGAAAAGTTAGTCTGTAGTCACTGGAGTGGTTAAATAAAACAAAACAGTGTGTGGTTTAAGGCTAAATTTCCACCCGAAAGGCTCACATGTAGTCAGGCGGGGAGCTGCTGCTTCCAAACACAATGAGTGAAATTTTAAAAGTTGCTCTTGAATAGTACAGCTGAAGGGAATGTTTGGGTTTTTTTAAAGCATACTGGAAGGACACGCGACGCCAACCACTTTTTCTGATTACACGTAAAAAAGAAACCGCGTTCAAAGGTTGAGATTACCTCATCAGACTTTCTATCAATAACTTAGAACCCAATTAAAGTCCCATGCAAGTTTTTCAATTTGGACACATGCTTCTCAGTTCTGTGCAGATGCTCCCAAAGCTTGTTAATTCTTTAAGTTCTGCTCAATAAAATTGATGCGTTTTCATAATGATAAGCAGCAGCTGACGGTAACTGTAAGAAAATTAGGCAGAAGATGAAATTATTGCAGAGATTCTCCGGAGCAAAATGCAATTTCAGTGGAAACCTTACGCAATTCATACACTCGGACCGTTCATTCAACTCTCCTCTTGTTTCTCTCAGCTGTCCTGTTCAGATGATGTCCTCCAGCGCTGCCTCCAGTTTGGCTGTAATTAATTTTAGCGTTTGCTATTCACAGCCGTGATGTCTGAACCTTGCATCAAGTGTCTGGTGATCACACACTGCAGGGTAAAAGCAGCGATTTCACTTCAACATATTATGACCAATAAATCCCAGTCAAGGGACGCTGGAACAAAACACGTTGCCTTTGCCTTTGTTTACATGCAGACACGCGTGAATAAAAGTACATTAGCATAATTAGCAGCCTTGTGTTTGTGTCATACAGTGACATAATTGTACATTTCCCAGTGACCTTCAGCTGTGCATATTATTCTCCGATGCACAAATACCAAAAAATCCTTTATCTGAGCATTGTAATTGGCTTCTGATTCTCGTTCAACATACAGTTTCTACTGCACGCATTATCTGATCCAAATAGCCCTCCGGTCTAGCGGTCCTTTTGTCCAACCAAGCAGTTTTTTTTTTCTTTTCAAGCTTCTGCTTGTGGAATCTGATCATTTTTCTATGTGATTGTGCTCCCCGCCCCCTTCGCGGTATTGTTTATGTACACAGTGCTGCATGTCTAGTAGACATATAGGCAAATTGTACAGTGTGAAAGCCACAGATGTTTTTCAGAGTTGCGTGGTTGGAATAATGAAAATGTAGCTCTCACACGGCCCTGAGTATTATACGACAGTTCACATTTAGCTCAATCTTACATAATTCACATATCACACAAACAACTGTAAATATATATGACTCACTACTAAAGTCAGTGTGTTATGTAAAAATAATTTAATACCACTTCTCGATGCCGTGGCTAAA